ATTCTACCATGACCAAATGAATATAAATTATCATTGGTTTTTACAACATAAAATATCTAAATATATTACTTTTTTGTTTAATTACATTACGAAACTGTACCTATGTCAGTTTATCTCAGAAAGTTTATTATACTCTCTCTATTATTTTATATGCATAAATTTTTAAGAATTAATAAATTGATTCTTTCAAGTTCTTCGAACCAACTTTTCAAAAACTAAAAATACCGAAATATATTATCTAAATATATATAACCAAAACCTAACCAATACCTAAACATGATATATATATATATATATATATATAATTACATTTTTGAATTGCTTAGTTTATGCAGCCTTCGACGAATACAATGACAGTTAATCCATTGTAGCTAATACCTGTCCAAACTACTATACCCCGCCCATTTAACGACGCGCATTTTAGAATTTCTCTTTCTGTACGTGACTATAATAATAACAGAAACAGAAACCATCGGGACGACACGACAGTCGAATCGTTTCTCATTCATGAACATCATTGTATTTCTTCTCCAGCTTCACGCGTTCTTTTGTAAAATTCAATTCACGCCACAAAACAAACATTTCTAGAATTAGTTTGGCTTCCACCATCTCGAGCAATTTGACCGGTTGCGAGGCACGAGTTCGATGCAATTAATGAGACAGAACGTTGTTCATGACATCAGAGACCACAAAAGAATAATCGTTAGCTTCACTTTTGCTACAATAATATAGATTCTTTAGTAAATCGTAAATAACTTTCTTGTATTTTCGCCCTCTATTTATAAACGCTGCAATCTTCGATGCTCATAAACCATAAACGTTTATATTGATCTCAATATTTTTCAAATCTTCCGTCGATTATTCAGTTTGTTCCGATACTGCATCTTTCAAACATTTAACCTTTTGAGTGCCAAGCGGCGCGATTGCGCTTCTCCATTACACTGCTAAGAAATGTCAGCCTATCGGTTCGTAGAATCAGATTAAGCTTATTCTTTTATTTTCCTTCTAAATATTTATTTTTATTTTTGTTATTACTCGCTTAGAAATAGAAAATGGAACGATAGCACTATATAAAATTTTTTATGTAAAAATAGGAAAGCGTAATTCAGTTTCTGAATTTTAAAATAAAAGAAACGCGTTCGCGCCGCTTGGCACTTTTTGACCAAGTTTTTGCAAAAACCCGCTATTAGTACCTCTACACTACTCGAAATACAAACAAGTATCAACAAAACGAAATATAAAGTAATATATAGTGGAGCCTCGAGTTACGTCCTTCCAATTCACATCATTTCACAATTATGTCTTCTCTACGTAACGCGATAGTCAATTGTTTTTAACCAATATTTCTTGCTCTACGTGTTCAGTTTTAACTGAATCAGCCTGAGCATTACTTGACTAAAGAATTTTTATGAATAAATAAATTTAGATTACACAGTTTCTACACAGATTAAGAACTTGTAGAAATATATTTACAGTAAACATCAGTACATAAATGTAATTAATCGAGAGTTAAGACCATTATTTACGTACGTGTCCTTATCTTTACATTATATTGTTAAAAGACGAAGTACTATAAGTTCTGAAACTAAATTAGAAATGATAAAACTTTTTGATAGTGGGACACAAGGTTTTGAGATTAACTGAGAAATAAATTTACCAGAAACAACTGTGAGGACGTTTCTTAAAGATAAAGAACGTATTTTCATGGCTATAAAAGAAGGCCATCCAGTACGTTTCAATATTATTCGTAAACATCGTGATCCCTTCAATTTTTTATAAACATACGTTAAATGTAATCTCTTCTATTATTTGTATACATTTAAAAGAAAATGTATCTCCTAATCTGATAAATACGTGTACAAACATGTATGTTCTCATACATGCATATTTATCTACCCTCTATCCCCGACTTACGGCCTTTTCGATTCACATCGCCCACTCCGATAAACAAAAAGGACGTAAATCCGAGGCCTTCCTGTATTAGATGCGTTTCATTACGCGGTGCATGTCATTGCTATTTCACAAGTATTACTGATAAATGCATAAACAAGTAAGCCAGGTTTAGTCGATTAGGTTTAATAACTATACAGAGATTTTATACCACTGAAAGACGTTTCAAAGGTTTCAAGTTTCCACACCTCTATGCCTTAATGTCAAAAACTATAGGTGTACATTCATTGCTTTATATAGCAATCGATGCCATACCGTATCCTCTATAAATCATTATTAAAATACTCCCATCTAAAATAGATTAAATTCAAAAACATTTTAATCGCAACATTGTATTCGAACTTCAAGATTTATGTTCGAATCGTTCGCAGAAAAAATATTTTAACGTGTATGCATCCGTATGCATATTGAACCGCCTCAACCATTCAATTTTAACTTGTGAATTTCACCCTTTAAGTATTTTATTCCTTTTAAAAGTGTACGCCTGTTTGGTTATTTATTTTTAAGCGATTACGGATAGACTGGACAAAAGTAGAATAGATAAACTTACTGTAAAGTCAAAATAAATTTATTTGTTTTCCGAAATAAATTATAATAAAACGACACATTTTTTAATTATACTTTTTAATTTACATTTTTATTTAACAAACCTTTCACTATAACTATAATCGACTATAGTTGGTATCTATGCGACGATCTCTCTGTACGAAAGCCGATTATAGTCGGCACGCGGATGATGATCAATTCTGCCGTATTGACAGTGAATCTTTTGGTTCTATTGGTCGTACCAGATTAAGAATGTATTAAAATATACTAAAAATATATAAAAATAACCATTAACTATTTCTATACAGAAGGACCACACTCACAGTCCCGTATGTCGTATCAAAAGAGTCAAAAAACCATTAATAATTATTACTTACAAAATTTTAAATGTGACCAATTCATAAACAAATAAATAATCAATATTTGAAATTAAAAATATTTTTAGGTATATTGAGTACTTAAAGATTTGGAAAAGTATAGAATGATATTCTAATCAATAATTTTAATCGATAATTAGTTTAATCTAAATTTTACTATAAATATCAAAAGCGATTTATTTTCTCCATGACAAGTTACTTGTCATTAAATAAACAATTGCCATCTTTTCATAATGAGTGTACCGAACGTAATCATGGAAATAGTTAAACCATTTGGAGAACACTGATTTCATTTATTTTACATATATATAAGTATACAATAGTAATAATGTATCACCCTACTGGCACGGCGATACAAGGAAATACTATTAGCAATGGACAAACAATTCGAATTACCGAACACGTTCGAATTTATCCTAAACTTATGATGTTTAACGTTCAAGTAAAATCCGTAAAGCAGAAAAAGGTACCGCGCGAAACTTCACTAAAGTTGATAAATTACCCATTTCGAATCGACATAATTTCTATGTCGATATAAAAATCAGAAAACTTCGTGAAAACTCTTGCGCGTGCATGTTGGCAGGTTCAAAATATTCGATTCGAACTGATTCTGGTCTAGAAACGTTCGAGCCGAATCGTCGCAGCGGAGGTGCGAATAGGAAGAATATTTGCCGCTTAAACGGGCTCATTCATCGAACATCGAGTTCGAAATTTCTTCTGGGATTCGGGTCCGAGTTGAAACTTAAAGTATTCTCGAAAACGCTCTCCTCTGTCTTTAAGTACAGTCGTAAGTCGTGATCCGTCCTGGTCAGGGTCGTAAGCACAGTTGCGTTCTCCAACCTAGCGTAACTAGCAACTCGCAACCAGCAACTAGCAACTCGCAACCCAACAATTCGTATCTCCTTTCACTTGTACGAGCACCGACTTTGTCCCATTCGGTATGATTAGTGGCGTAATATTCATCAAAAAGAATTTTATCGATACTCAAATTAAATGGAACACAATTATCGAGCAAGCGCTTTCGCAGTTTATAATCGGCCAGTCGAGTTTTAGTAATGACATGAGTTTATTTAGAAATTCCTAACTCGATGCTATCTAAAGGAATTTATTCCATTTATTCGCGCGAGACATAACGCGCGAAAGCATAACGCATGAATGCGTACAAAACGAAACAGATATCGAGAACAATGTACTACTGACAATAACTTTACTTGTTCACGAATGTTTTTAAACTGGTTATTACATATACTTTACAAAGTAAAGATAGTTTTATTAAGTTCTGTTAATAGAAAAAATTCTATAAATAAATACAGCAGAAAATGAAATAAATATAGTGCTGTGAAACACTATTCTGCGACAATTCCGTAAAGAAACCACCAGCACGATACTCGGAGAAGGATACGTAGCTCGTATCAAAAGAGGATTTCTGGTGTGATGAACTTACGAACTCGCAAGCATCGTCGAACAATTAGCTTTGTGGTAAACTGGTCAGTGTCAGTCACAGTAATGGGATCATAAATCACGAGAAAAAATACATCGGGAAAAAATATTTGTATAATTTCAATTACGACACGCGTTCCTACATATAAGAAATAACTTGTATAAATAAACGAACAAATTCTAACTACAGTTTAAACTACAAATCTCAAAATGTCAGTAATATGCACTATGCGCTTAACATTTGTTTCACAGTTATATTTTACTCGCATACCACGCACGAATTAATATTTTAAATATATTACTAATATGAAGTTGAAGCTTGAAAATCATTTAAACAGAGTAAAATGTTAATCGGTATAAAAAGAAAGCAATTATTATATTTTTATAGTTGAAAAGCTGTATAACTCGCAAAATAAATGTGTAATTATAGAAACTATAATATTCTACACACACGGTATACAGCGCTATCATGAAAATGCAATTGTTACTAAAATTCATTGACCCGCGGCATTAGGAAAAGCTTGATGCAACGTAACAGTTCGAAAAATGATAAGTAACTCAAGCCAAATAACTTAAGTTAACCACGTGTAATTGACATATGTATAGAAGACCATAATATGTCGTAGATATACGATGCATGTATATATCTATATAGATCCTACTTATACAGTCTGTCATTTTAATTACCTCTTAATTCGTTTTCCGCCCAAGTAAAATCCATAAAGCAGGAAAAAAGTACTGCACTAAACTTCACTACAGTTGATAAATTACCCATTTCGAGTCGACATAATTTCTATGTCGATATAAAAATCACAAAACTTCATGAAAACTTAACTGTCGCTCGATCACTGGTAACACATCCTCCTTCAACGTCAGACGGTAGCATACTGAAGAAACAAATTGTAGTAGAAAGTGGGAAGACTTTCCCATTCCCCATTCCCCATTCCCCATTCCCCATTCCCCATTCCCCATTCCCCATTCACTATTCCCCATTCCCTATTCCCCATTCCACATTCCCAGTCCGGTAATGGGAAGATTAAAGCCATTGATGTATAAGGGATAAGACTCACAACATTGTACACCTTTCTTTGAATTTCAAGATGGCGCATTGAGCGCGACGTATGATTTTACATTTATTAATAATTAAAATGATGTTTCGACGTCGAGTATTTCTTTATTAAACATTTTTAAATAGAAGTAAAAGTTATCATCTCCACATTCCTAAAATATTAATAAATACATAAATTTAATCTTTATCGTAGATCAATACATATTCAGTAAAAAGTACAATTACATAAATAAAACTAAAAAAATTAATATATAAATTTATTAAGATTATTATCATTGTTATTATTCAAACAGAAAGAAAAGTTTACTTTTATCAAAATGTTTACCCTTATTGCTACAATACCATTGTTTAATGAACAAAGTGAGTTGCGTTTGGCACTATTCAACTCGACAATTGAAAAATCAAAATGCTACAGGAAAATATAAATACCCGGAAATAAGAATCCTTATTTACATTGCGCACGACTACTTGAATTTTATAATTCCCGGTTGTTAATGTTTCTCTCTTGACTTTTTAATTCATAAGAGTTATTTTGATTCAAAGTGATCTTTTTGAAACATTTGTTTTTAGTTGTCATCCAAGAAAATGTAGGATGAAGCGAATAATTAAAGTTATTCGAATAATTAAGACTTAGGCAAATACCAAATTCATGATTACGTATAGGCGTGATACTAAAAACATGTAACTGATTGATACCAGTAGAGTATAAAAGTACGTTTCTTTGAATTAATTGTATTTAAATATATTTACAAAGATTTATTTCATTACGCTTTGTAACAAAAAAATTAGATATTGAATAAAATAATGCTATTTGTCTACTAACATATATATGTATAATTAGAAACGTTTATCGCACGATGGAAATTTGCGTATTCTTTGTACATAAATTTTCCATTTTTGATTAATAAGACAGAGTTGGCAACGAAATTATACCAACTCATTTATATTTGAAAAAGTTAAAACTTACACTTTTGGAAAGTTTGTACATTACATAGAATTTAAAGGGCTATGTCGAAACTGTCTGTTACTCCGACTTATGACATCATATTTTATTATTCATTATATTTTTATTACACAAAGATGTATACTTAGCTGTATCATTGTGTCAACCTTAAATACATTCTGCGACTTTTTTTAGTATTTTTTATGTTCTTAAATAGAGAAGATCTAATACTTTTTTAACAATTGTTGTCACTAAATCAGGTCACAAAAAATGTGTACATCTATGAACGATTTTAAGAGGCTGAACAGAAAAGGAGAGGAAGATACATTATTTTTGTTCATTTTAAACCATGATCATTACTAACGACACCTCTCTCTCTCTCACTACATATCACGATGCGACGATTTTATTTTACAGACCTATGTTTTATACAAATTACTTAGGCATTGTAATATTCACGATTCTTTGCGCTTCATTATTACAATACTTTAAGTTACCTTTCTAGCAATGTACAAGCTAAAAGAGTTCAGTTTTATACAAGACTGGTCGTGAAAGATTCTCCACGTCACTTTCAAAATTTATTAAATATTATTAAACTATGCGTACAAAGAGGATTCTAAAGTCTCCAAAATTTTATCTTTTATTATCTCTTAATTTATGTTTTCCATGAATAGACTAAGTATGTATACAGTACTAAAACAGATTACTATAAAATTAAACTGTACATGAGGATGTAGGGAATACTCTATGTACGCAAAGTTAAAATATAACATAACATACTAGAATTATTCTTTCCAGAAATTTTTTGTATCACAAATATTAATATTACAATTATTCATCTCAAATAGAATTTTGTTTCCTTTTCATACATAATATAATATATAAGCGTTTCGTTTACAATTTCACTTTTCATGTTGCATCTTTGCAGTATATTTTACTGTATTCTATTCATTTCTTTATTGCAAAGACGAAGTGTAAGCTTGACGAGTCATATCTCAAGAAAGTTAAAGAAAACTTAAATATGTTTACTTTTAAGTAAACCATTTGTTACCTTACATTAAAACATTCATACCATACTATTAAATAAAAAGATTCTTCACGTTCTTCAATTTTTTACAAGAAGCTTTTCACTAACTGTTGTATATATATGTATAATATATACAAAAATTTCCTCCTTGACAATTGAATTTTTACTAATTTTATAACTTATATTTAAAATTGATTACCTTTACTTTACTGTACTGTGTGATCTAAAAGCAGTTGCAATTATTTTTATTTATATATATATATATATGTATATATAAACAATACATAATTATACCTTTCGTCTACTCAAATTACTATTATTTACATTTTATTTTATATATTTTTATACAATTTTCCTGATGTTTATCGACTTTCCCAGGTCTATCACGGGAATCAATCTTAGCATCGTTTTTATATTTATTATTACAAAATCATGTCTCTCTATTACATTCTTACAAAATGTGATGAAAATGATGGACAAAAATACGAATGGTGTAAATGAATACAATAATATAATTATGCAGAACTATTATAAATCAATATTAACTAACGTAAAATTTTAAAGTAATAAGTGATGAATGATTGAATTACTAAACCGTATATATACTATAAAATCTAAATCACTGGTTTCACATTCATAAATAATGGTAAACAGTGAAGCTACATCGACACACGTCAAAAAAGAGATATTAATAATTACAAATCAAGTGTACGCTTTCTGCTTGAAATTAATGTTATGAATAATAATAGTAATAATAATAATAATAATAATATTAATAATAATAATAATGATGATGATAATATTAATAATAATGATGATGATAATGATGATGTTGATAATGTTAGTGATGAAGGAGATGATGATGTTGACGTTGATAAT